TGTGTGTGTGTGTGTGTGTGTGTGTGTGTGTGTGTGTGTGTGTGTGTCGATCTGGATTGTGGTCGATTGTTTGTGCGTGCATGAATTTATGGTGGCAGGTTTGCATGCTACAGATCAAATTCGGTCGATGGTGATTGGGTTGACTAACCAACCGAAAACCATGCTTCTTTTCATTGTTGCTCCGTTGCTTCGAATATTGTGTGTTTGTGTGCTGTTGCTTTTGCCACAATTGTTTTCTTCTTTCTTTCTCCATCTTCTAAACTCTTCTTGTAGCAATAATTCATGTGTGTTTTTTTTCAGTTTTTAATTCGTTCACTTGTGCAAATGATCCCGCTATGCCGAAACATCAGATACGATGTGTTAGACGAATGAACGGGCTGAAACCAAGCTATAAATCCCCGTGTGCTCCGTTCTTTTGCAAATGGATTGATTCATCGTGCGCAAAGAACTCTTGAAATTTATTTTTTGTTGCTTGAAATTAAATTTAAACACAAGTAAAAACAAGAAGCATAGAATATATGCGCAAAGAATGACCTATTTATAATCGTAGCACACATCTCTCTCTCTCTCTCTCTTCGTTTCAAATTAAGCACAAATGGCAATCCAACTCAAGAAGAAATGTTTTTTCTTCGAGTCTATTTGAATTCGAGCGTAGAATTTGGGGCCATTAAAAAAAAACCGTTGAAATTCAAAAAAAAAAGAACTGAAAAAAGATAGATTTTTTTCGTCACTTTTGTGCCCATGAACATTTCAATGGATTTTTGCGAGGGACAAAGTGGTTGTCACCTTCAAAAAAATCGCAATGCTTTCATTGATCGAAATTCAAAAGACGACAAATGGTACTTAATGATGATCCCAGACACCGTAGCGCATCCATGGCTAAAGCAAAAGGGCAAGCGCACACTCTCTTCTCAGTCTGATTGATTGAATACGGTGAATAAGCAAAATCTCAATCGCTGTGTCCGATCAGCAACCGAAATAAAAAGCAATACACACACAGACTGAAAAACGAGTGAAAAAAAGCAAAGAAACGAACACACACACACACACACACCGAAGTCAAAGTGAAAAAAAAACTAAAACATAGAATTATGTAATCGATAAATTTAAACAACAAAGAGAAAATTGAATGCCAAACACCTGAGGATCGCATAACTTGATGCGCGCAAACCATGTGTGTGCACACATGCCGATTTATTCAGTTTTTTCCGTGAATACACACCAGATTGCATACACAAATGGAGACGCAGATAGAGAGAGAGAGAGAGAGAGAGAGAGAGAGAGAGATAAAGAGATAGAGAAAGAGAGAGAGAGAGAGAGACAGAGAGAAAACTGTCGGTAAAAGCATCCATAAAAAAAATCAACGATACGAAATCGGTTAAAATTTAAATAAAATAGTTTGCCAAGATCGTTTATTTGCCGTCCCATATTTCCCATGGTGTGTATGTGTCAAAATCACAATATTCATTTGCTCATTTCGGATGCCATCATAACATAATACCTACATAATTCATTGATCACATAATGTGGTTCATGCGCTCGTTCAAACACCGATCAATAAAAATTGTTACGATGCGAGCGACAGCGCGACAACGACACAACGGATATCGTTGTCGTTTTGGCTCTTGCTATCTTCATATCATGTCGTTTGAAGTGAAATCAATACCCAAAAAATTCAATGGTCTTTGCATTCAATTCATCTCACTCACTCACTCTCTTCGCTAGTTTTCTTTTTTTACGTTCGTGGTTCGTCTTTTCTTTATCTCCTGCTTTGCTTTCCTTTGCTCTCACAATACCCGCAACAAATCGACCATCGATGTCGATGTTTCATATCTGTCGAATAGATTTGAGCGCTTCCCAAAAAAAAACACACACACACACGTTACAAACACACATATTTTATTATTCACATTCGTAAGTGTTGTCAATTTCGCTATGCAAAACAGCAAATACATTGGCTCACTTATTATCATGGCTTACATCATCAGACGAAATCAAAAATTCACTTCCTTCACTTCTCTTTTATCTTGAATTTAGCGCTAACTGAGATGTGCATGTGGAGGTGCGCGAACGCTTGCATTTTCGCACACACCATATCTTCGATTCTAGTGCACACGCGGATAGTCGGTTGTTTTGTTTTTCGGTGTTATTTGCACCAGCATGCAACGCAAATAGAATTTCTCTAGTGTGCAGTGTCAATTTGTTGACAAAGTTTTCACTTACCGACAGTTAGTTAAGTAGTTTTCACTTACTTAGCAATCGATTTGTTTCTCTTTTTTTTCCTTCTTCTTTTTTTTTGCTCGCTGTTCGAACACAAATTGAAATGCAATTAAACTTTTGTGAAATCCATTTTCGTTCTCACACGATGTGCACACGCAAACACACCGATCTGCAGTAGCAGCAGCAGCAGCAAAAGTGAAAATTGTGCCGATTTTCACTGATAACCATTATTGGTACAAAATGTGTCTCAATTGCAAAATGGACAGGAGCAAAGGGTTCTTCTGTGAAAAACCCTTCAATTTTCGCCATGCTCGGTTCTTCGTTTCTTTTGCATGTGATTGTGTGGCGAAAGTGATTCGGTCATTTTTACAAACCAATTCATAACCATGGCTTAAAATGTGTCTTTATTTGTTGTTGTTATTATTTTTATTTTGTTGCTACTTCCACCCAAACACACACATGGCACCGAAACAATTTGGACACGTGCAAAACCTACGAGCCACTTGCTTCGATCTCAAGAAATGCTCACCGTTTTTGTGTATGCGCATAAATTTGAGAAAAGAAAGTTGTATTGTTGTTGTTGTTGTTGTTGTTGTTATTGTCGTTGTCGTCGTCGTCGTCGGTCACCGTGTGTTACACAGTTATTTGTTTGGCAAAAATCTTGGCCATGATGACATATATATGCATGTATGTATATCGATGTGTGTTAAATGAATGTTTCAATTTGGTAAGTGTCAATCGATTTGTCGCAATGTAAAAGGGTGCACAATAAATCGAGCAGCCTCTGTGTGTATATGCTTGTGTGTAAATTTGCTGATACCACATTTGAAATGCAAAATACCACCCGAAAAAGCGCTCTCACAACTTATACAATATCATCGGAAATAAATTGCAAGATCCTCTTCGCACACACATGGACGCACCGCGGCGAATAAGAATAGCTCAATCAATTTTCAATCAAAGAGCCTGAACCAAATCCAAGAAATAAGAACAAATAACTGCTCGAGATTGAAAAAAAGCTCCATGTGATTTATGCCACATAAACTTCAATTAGTTGATCGTTCAAACACGTATCATTAAATTCAAAATGCAATGCAATTCGCGAATTAAATAAAAAATATATGTATATTTAGCGAAAATGGAAGCGTGAGCATGAGCGCGTTCTTTGGGCCACTTTTCAACTTTTTTTCTTCTTCTTCTTCTTCTTCTTTTTCTTACTTTTCTTTCTTCTGTTTCTTCTCTGAATGTTTGTTTTTATATTTCATTTTATAATATTTTTTTTATTGTTGTTTTTGATTTGCTCGTTATATATATTTTATTTCATCTACAAGAGTTATAGATTGGAATGTTACTTTCCCAATCGATTCAATTTCACATAGATAACTTCGCACCAATAATCCAAAAGGAATTGTCGTTTCGCTGTGTGTGAATGCGATTTTGTGTTTCAAACGGAAATTGGCAACAGAAAGAAAAAAACACAATACTCTACTGTGTGTAACTGTATGAGAAAGGAAAATAAAAAAAAAACAAATCTCCTACTTACCGCTTAATTTGAATTTGGATTGTGATTTTTTTTTGTCTCGTTGTTTTTGTTGCCAGAAAAAAATGGATTTTTATTTGTCGCAGTTTAAATTTCTAACACACGATATGGCTAATCAAAATTGTGGTTTTATTTTTCTCTCTTTTCAAAATTCAAGTTATTGTGAGAGGGAGAGAGAGAGAAAAGAAATGCACTTGGCTTTAACGACACGTTTAAATTCGAGGATTTAACTTTCAGTTTATAGTTTGGTTATTGGTTGAAATGAATTTTTGTTGAATTCACTGACACATTTTTTCTTTCATACTGGAAAAAGAAATGATTGAAATATTTGTAGAAACTATTTATTAACGTTCAAAATGAAATGAAAAAAAATCGGTTGATTTTGTTTTTTCTTTTGCTTCGTCTCTTATATTGGTCGTTGTTTGGTATTCGTTGGTTTTTCCGTACGAAATGATTGAGAAACGGTTTTTTCTGTATTTTTTTTTCTCTTTTTGTTGTTGTTGTTTTGTAGCACACGATCGAAATTCCAGAGAGGAATGCTTATTCTCCGTTCGATGTTTACAAGGGCCAATTTGATACTGAGACGGTGGCTATCACTACTTTCTTTTAATAGTATTAATATACATTCGGATCTTTGAGGCATGCGATCAGCAGCAGCAACAACAGCCAGTGGCGGCCACAACGATCACGACGACGACGACAACAATAAACGTTGAAGAAGAGGAAAAACAAGCACACTTACATAGAAATCATTCGAAAAACTCGAAGCGAGTGAGCGAGCTAGTGAGCAAAGAAGAAGAAGAAGAAGAAGAAGAAAAAAGAAGCGAACCACTTGAATGCTGAAAGAAACTGTGCAAGATTTTATATGTATATATCGTACATATTGTGCCGTAGAGCCGAAGAGTACTGTATTATGAATCCAAACCAATCGCAGCTAAATAGCACACAACACTCGAATGCGAAAGACAGATATGCACACACACATACACATGTCAACCTACGATATTAGCGCGAATGCGCAAAATTATCATGGTTTTTATGTACCTGTATGAGTGCGACGTATGCATGTGTGTGTGGTTGTGTATGTTTTCAATTTGGATAGTAACTAGCCAATGGATACGAATGCAAGCGAAAATTCAAGTGCGCGATGACCAATTTGTATGGGACTATTGGTTGGATAGTGTGTAGTAAATGTGATGTGCGCGCGCATGCGCCACTGACTCTTCAATGTTCGTCACACCAAATACAAAACGACAACGGCGACGACGACGACGACTATGTCAATCGGTCGAATTCAGGCTAAGTCGTGCGCGCTACACTATATACACATTCAAATATCAAAAACATAAATTATACACAATTCAAATAAATGTAATGAACAATTTCATTTGCGCCGATTTTTATGTAATTTTTTTCCTTCTTTTGCTCCCTCTCCCTCTCCAAATTTTTCACGCGTTTATGTGTTCTTGCGCGGTGCAACAACTGGGGCTACAAATCATCGATTATTGAGCACATCGGCCATTCGATTCGGATTCTTTAATATTGGCAATCGTTTTTCAACCGTTAATGATTAGTCAAACGGCTTTTTATTTCAACGCTGTTCCATATTATAATGGCCATATTAAGAAAATCGTAGTCGAATTCTAATGAGCTCTCCTCTTGTCAATCGCCCAAACATGACAACTCGAATTTGAACCAAATCCACCAGTTATTCGATTCTAGTCGCCTATAGCTGTACAAATACTTACGCACAATTCCGATTGTCATTAAGACTAATTGACTTAAAAAACCATTGACGCTCTTTGCAACATATTGAATTGGTTTCGGTGCATTTTTTTTCTCTCTAAATTATTTTTCTGTCTGGCATATGTGCAATAGCCATAGAGTAACCTGATTTTTCCTTCTCTTTCGATCTCTGTCTCTCTCTCTCTCTCTCTCTCTCTCTCTCTCTCTCTTTCTCTCTCTCTCTCTCTCTCTCTCTCTCTCTCTCTCTCTCTCTCTCTCTTTTCTACATTTTTATTGATTTTATGAGTCCGTTTGAATAATGCGCCTCAATTGATTCGTCTGTCATTGAGTGAATTCTCTTGGTTCACCGTAATAGTGCTGAATTTGAACAAATCAAGAGAATCACATCCAAAGAGTCATCGCACTTTTTCGACTTTTGTACTTCGGTTTGACTTTCAATGCGCTTACGTCACCTAAACCGAATCATTAGCCATGATTTTTTTTTTCTTTGAAAGAATCCGACGACGATGACGACGATGACGACGATGACAACAACGAAAATATGACCGACCATATACCGAGCTGTAGATTTACAACGTTTACGATTAGGTGTCAATGAAATCGAGTAGACGCGCCACAATTTTTCAATCAATTGGATAATGACCGTATTGTCATAACGGCGAAATACCATAATTAATTACAAACGAGTTAAATTAACGAACATTTTTCTGCTAAAAAAATTTTTCGGCTAGATCTTGAAAGGGCCCTTCAAATTGGCCATGTGCTTCCGTTCAAAAATATATTATTATCAATTTCAACAAATAAGAGGCCCAAATATTCATTTTTATTTCATTTTAAAAGTGTTGAGCTTCCAAGCAGTCAGTTTAGTCAATTTCGTAGCTTCCTCGAAGCAGGCTTAGTGGCTTTTGGAGTCATAAATATCAACATGTAAAAAAATAGTGACAAAAACCATAAGTGAATAGCAAAAATTTGAACAATTCGAAAATATTTGACGCTTAAAATCATTGAATGAAATATTATTCAAAGAAAAATCATTCTGCACAAAATTTAGTCTTCTTTCAACTTGTTATTTATAAAATTTGTTCGTTTTTCCATGGATTTTTGACATTTTTTTTAACAACAACAAGTCAAGGTTCAGTTCTCACTGTTCATATTATTCTGCATCAAATGATTTACCCCAAAATTATTTTCGAATAAAATCCCCGTTAGAAATGGATACCGTATGGAAACTATTAAAGTTGCAATGCATACATTACGGCGACTAAAATGGGCTTTTTGTCTTGCAAAGTTTAAAGCACGAAAACATGACATTGAAAGGGTTTCGATTAAATTCCCGTTCGAAAGCATGTGTTGAAAGTGAATTGGTGTTCAAGTTTTTTTTTAGGTTTAAAAGACCAATTTTGGGGGGAAAAGTCTTTATTTGTATACTTATGACAAGCACAAAGAAGATGGGCGAAAAAAGAATAAAATAAATAAGTTGTGAACGTATAAAGTATTCATGCTTGAATTCTTGATTTGACGCTTCTTACCATCGCTCATTCTCGTCATACATTCATTCCGATTTCCTCGTAGAAAAAGGTGTGCTATGAAGAAGAAATAAAAGATATTCAAAATTACTAGTAAAAAAAATTGCGGTTGTTCGAATGAAATCAACAACAACAAAAAACGCATACACAATGATGTGTATTTTTCCAAATGATGACACTTTGTGTGTTGTTGATGCAATCGAAACAGAAAAAATCTCCAACGGATGGCCAAAGTATAAATATGAAATATAGGTATTTTGGAGAATTAAAAAAGAACCAACGGTATGATTTAATCAATGAGTCATTGACAATGACCTATGAACGGTGAGCTTAAAATATTGGATCAAGGCTCACAACTCAATATTTGCCCATCAGTTAAATTGGCACGAAATAATTAGAACACAATAAAACATCAGTGACAAGGATTCGCAATGCATGATTAGAATGAAAAGCGATACAGATTAGCGTTGAATTCTCTCAAATTGACTCATTTTAGTTTTCGCACATAGAGAGAAACTAATTCATTCATCGATCGTTTATGCAATGCAGTAGAAATGTGTTATGCATCGCATCCAATCGTTTATTTCTCACTGAATCACATGGTTATGAATCGTAACTAACGATTCACATGATTTTCATTGATAACAATATGATGAATGCGCTCAGTAATTTACACTGTTGTCAGGGAGTTGGATGAAATTTCGGATGTATTTGCAATAGACATGGAAGTGGATAAATGTTGAATGAACAAGAAGAAAGAAGAATGTTTGGGTCAATGAATGAATACCAAACCGAAACCAATTTGCATCGAACTAATTGAAGAATGTAATGGTCTGGTTGCGTTCAAAAGGAAAGCGAAAGAAAAGAGAAAGAAACAGCAAATGGAGAGCAAATTGACGAATGCACATTGCACATTCTTGCAAGCCACAACGGCATTGCCTTCGTTTGAGCGGCTCAACGACAAATCACAATTGTTTTACGCTTTACGTTATATAAAATTGCATTTTATGCTTCCACCATGCATTGTGATTTACGAAATATAAAAATTATGTTGCGTTAAACGCAATAAAACTGAATTATTAAGCCAATGCGACTGTTTTACGTTGTGTGCTGATCGGTAGATGTTCAATATATGCAATGCGCTTGATTTGAATGTGTGATTCATATGCGATATACATGTGTCATTTCATACACAAATTTCACCGCCATTTTATGATTCAACGAAGACAGCCTTTCTCTTTGATTCATTGTTCCTTTGCGATACAAATCAAATTGTTATTTTGTTTATATCGAATCGATGGAAAAGGATCGCAATACATTTTTGCACAAGCAATCTCTCACATTTACAGACACAACATCATCCATACCGATCAATACTGCATTTCATTTGCACAAGACACAACGAACACCAACAGCAATAACTGAAGCAATAATAATCATGAACCTGACCTTTCTCTTGTCAAAAACAAAAAACGAAAGAGACAACCACAAAAACGTTGGAAACGGTGAATGCGAGAGAGGAAATGAAGCAAGAAAAAAGTGCGATGAAACGAAGAGCAGAAATTCATCGATCAGGCGATTTCAATTTCATTGCTGGTAGGGCTAAGTTATGTACATGACATATGTGTTTCACGCATATGGCATAACCGGTTCGAGTGGCGTGTTTTTTTGGCTGCTTCTTCTTCTTCTTCTGCTGCTGAAAGCTTTGTTGTTGTTCATTCAGTGCTTTGATTTAAAAAAGCGGAGAAAAAAAACCACAACAGCAGCAGCCGCAGCAGCCGCAGCAGCGGCAGCAAAAAGTGAATATTTATTGTTGGCGGTTAGATCGATTAGCTATGTAGGTGAATAATTCACACGCAAATAAAATGTCATTGATCTATAACGGTCTGTTGTACACTTTTAATGAAAACAGTCGTACCTTCGATTGAAAATAGAACTAAATCGCACGATTGTGGCCTGATAACACGACAAAATTAGGTTTCCCTCGTTTCCATATCTCAAAGACTGTATACCAATTTGCCACGCGTGCATACAGACTCTCTGCTCAGGTTGCCCATATCAGATTGCACCCGCTCCGAAGAAGATTAAGAGCAAAACGACGCTGAACCAAATCTCTTCAACCGATTCCACCAATGGAACATTTTCTCTTTGCGATCGGCAATCGGTTTCAAAGTCGGTTTTCCATCGATTCAGTGCCGCCTCGTCGTTTAATTACCTTAATTATATTAGAAAATTTATATACTAAGCAATGACTGAGCGTGTGTACGAAAAAAACATGAAGTTCATCATCTAGAAATAATTGACGAAAATGCGCAATGCCACAACAAAGTGACCAGTGAGGTTTGTATTTATCTCGGTACACAAAAACAAAGAGCTTGCATTTTTTTTTACCGATTATGATCAATCTGTCTTAACCATATGATTACCGTCCAGCCTCTGTGCCAATTATGGCTATCTCTGCTGCATTGCGCACACGAGAACCAGCTGTTTAAAATGAAAACATGTCAAGCCCATACGAAATTATAGATCATAAACGTCCTTAATTTCGAATCGAATCACATTGGAATTTGGTTTGGCATATATTTTTCTCGACTCGATTCAATTCGAATTAATCACGGCTCTAAACGAAACCATTCAAGCGTAACCTTTGAACACCTAACGGAAAAGTCTTCGAACATCTAAACTCGATTAATAAGAATATCGTACGATACGGCACGTTGGAATTGATTGAATTTTATCCGCTCATTTTGACCATTACATAAAGGGGTTTGGCTTCTTTTTTTTCTCGGAGAAAACTATTCCATTTGGTCGCATGTGATTCGGGTTGTGTTGTGTGTGTGTGTGTGTGTTGGAAAAGCATTTTCCATTGATCCATTCGCAATTCACGTGGTATGTTCAATACAAAACAAAAATAATTTTAAAAAAATCACAATCTCACAATCTCAGCCGGTCAACTTTCGGTTCTCGGTGGTATGATACGAGGGCACCGATCTGATCGATTGTGGTCGATCCGTACGAGCTGAAAAGAGAAATGCAGACAATACACAAGTCGCTTACGACTAGCACCACAACACCAAACCAAATTAACACACATAAAACAAAAGCAGAAATATGAAATTGGAACCGTTTTGTCTCTTGCTTCGGTTGGCTCGCTTACGGGCGCGCATCAGCACCTCTGTCAGTTTTGGCGTAAGCAACAAATATCGTTTCATTGTTTACAACAAACGGTTTTAAATTGCGTTGCTCTACTGGAGTCGATTAAACACACCGTACACACACTGTGTTCAATGCTCGTGATTGCATTTCATTTTTTGTTTTGTTTTCTGTTTGTTTTTGGTATGAACATTTGGAATTGGTTATTTAGTTTGTGTTTTTCGTTCGTACACCTCAGATATTTGGCCGTTTACACGTGCTGCGCACCGTGCTCGCGATCATCATTGTCTTCATTTCATTTCGCAGAAACGATACAGAAGAAAACTAATAAACCATTGCACTCATCTTCGGAGGCTTTTCGTTGAGAGAGAGACAGAGAGATAAAAGAAATACACGCCTAATGGTTTTTTCGGGAACTCATTTCCAAATAGTTCAAGTGGGCAAAAGTGTTTTGTGCGAGAAATTCGATTGCGTGTTTGGTCGGTCAGCCAATTAGTCGGGTACGTATGGTGACAGTTTTATTCGGAATGTGTGCGTTTTGATCACGCATTTCACTGCATGTATGGTGTGACCAGTGCTGCTTTCTCCCATTTCTTCTTCATTCAACAAATGAGTTTATGATTCTGACGCCATAACGTCAAACTAAAAATGAATGAAACTGCAATTAAATTGTGTGTGAGTCCACACGTCTAAGTCAAAGATCACTTCAAATTAGGAAGGAAAAAAAACCAGAGAATTGGTCACATGGAAATTTCCACGGAAAAGAACCACGCGAGCCAAAATGTTTAAAGCATGATAGAATTTATTTCCACACACACACACACACCGAATGAATGTGCAGTGCTTGGTTTTGTCACAAGCGCAGTGAATCGCAGTAAATATGCAACATTCATCGTATGTTGTGCATGTTGCACATGTGTATTTGTGCAGCATCGTGATCAATAGAGTAGCAGCAGCAATCACTGTGCTGCTATAGAGAGTTGTTCTGTTTGTGGCGATCTGGTGCGCGGAGAGACGAAGAAGAAATTGACGATTCGATTTAGTGGTGAAACAACAGTCGATCAAGACAGTTTGATTTAGTTTTTCAACCTCAGTTTCCGAGTTGGATGAAAGAAGAAAAAACAAACAAAGCGATTACAGCTCGTCAGTTGCAACATTAAAAAGAAAGCCGTTTTGAATCCGTTCTACTTCCTTCTCGATTTGGACAGCAAAATTTCAAACAATAGGTTTTTATTCACACAAAACAAAAGAATACAAACAAATTTCTCTCTTTCTATTAAAAACCAGCTAAAATTAAATATCTAATCTGCGCATTGTTTTTTTATTGTGATCGCCGGCTGATTCAATTTACCGGTTTTTTTTCTTCTCTTTTTCTTTTATTGTTTATTTTAATCAATTTTTAATGTTTCTATTTAAAAAAAAAATGGCCAAAGAACGTCAAATGGCTCACAATTGATGGCTTTCTTCAAAATTTCCGTTCAGTGAGAAAGCGAATGAAACGCGCTGCGCCAATCGAAATTGTGCGTATGTGTTTATGAGCGTGCGCGTGCGTTTATCGTCACTAGCTCAATGAAAAATAATGAATCGAAGACGAACTAGATGGAGAAAAAATTATTACCTGCAAAACATTGAGAGAAAGAGATATGAAACGACAAAATTAGCTGCGCGCAATTAACCCAATGAAAATAAAAATATAAGATAGGAATAGAGAAAAAAGAATGAAAGTATAAGCGTTTTGAATGATGAAGTGACTGTTTCACTCATTTGATCGATTTTTTATTCATTTTGTATGTGTGCCTTTTTTTTCCTCTGTTTGTTTCAGCAATGACACCACAACGGTAAATTATCCGGATGATCAATTACGAGTGAGTTTGTACGCGTGCGAGCGACAACGACGGCGAAGAAGACACTTTTTACTTTTATTTCGGTTTGGTTATACACAATTCCGAAATCTCTACACCAATGTGAATTACGCGCGTGCTAGAAACAAGAGTAGCTACTTCAAGACAAGTAGACATACGACAACCTTAGAAAGAAGAAGAAAAAAGTGAAATCTATTGACCCACGTTGTGAAGAAGACCCACAAAATAATCGAAAGAAAAAAAGAGTACATGAAAAATTATACATCGCTTTAAATAAAACCAGCAAGAGAGAAAGAGAGAAGCAAAAATCATCATAATAATAAAAGTACATGAGAAAATAGTGATGATAATAACTACTCAAGCGTAAACATGGTTTGATGGTAAGCATCTCATCGTTCGACCACTAGTTTGTGCCAAACACACGGTCGTATAAATTGTGCGAGCGCATGGAGACCGTCGCTCGATGTGTGATGTGTATGTGCGTGCGTGTGGAGAGGTAAAACGAAAGAGTTCAAATATGCATAGAAATATTGATTGAAAAAAAGAAGAAACAAAATTAAATGAAAAAAACAAACAGTTGAAAAGAAGAAGAAGAAGAAGAAGAAGAAAAAAAACCAGAGCCAGAGTGACGATACTAGGTGATGTTGAATGAGTGAGGCTGCCGATCTCAAAAGTAAACATCAACATTGGGGGGCCACCAGTGAAATTATTATCAGTGTGAGTACGCGAGCATAGTAACGTGAACACGAGCGCGGGAAGCAATGGTATGAGCTGAACTGATCAAATTACAAGGTAGAAGAGAAGAGAAACAAAAAAAAAACCCAGCAACAGCGCATGAGGCACACAACGGCCAACTTTGTGATAGACGGTTTATAGCAATTGCGTGCATATTATTGTGCGAAATCCCCTCGCGCTTGCTTTTGTGTACGGTTCGCACCCGCTCGACGGGGTCTCTTTCTCCTCACACACACACACACACACATCCTACGAACCACAACGACAACAACAAGAGAAAAAATAACAAATTCAATTTGATGTGCGTATGTGTGCGTATGTGTGCGAGTGACAAAGTCAGTATAAAGAAATTGTCATTCAAACGGATTTGTTTTGTTACCGTCGAACGAGCGAGCCGAGCTCTCGTGCAATGTCTTCGAAAGTGTGCAGTGCAAACGATTCAAGCAAGTGACAATAACAGCACAAAGACGAAAAAAGAAGGAAAAATATAGACAATTTGTTTGAGACTTGCTCACAGTTTGTTTCTGGCTGACGTGAACATACATCACAGTGAATGTTTAATCGAGAATCAACGACGACCATCGATTTGCATTTTATTTTTCTTTCTCTCTCTCTCTCTCTCACTTGCTCGACCCGATTTTAAATCGATATCAATTTCATTCGAATCAAATAGTGTAAAAACACATTCCAACGAAGACAAGTGACAAATGAACAACGAGACAAACAGACATTTGATAGTGTGACACATGGAATGGTGAAAATTTGCAATCGTATCGAATTTTCCGTTGGCTGACAAACACAAACCAAATCGAACGAGACGTGAGAGAGAAAAAAAAAACCGATCAGATACGGGACAGTGTTTAAAGAAAAGCAATCAAGCGTCAAGAGATTTGAAGGCAGGTGGCAACTGGTTTCTGCAGCAGCCACATCGAGAATCAGATTCAAATCGAAAGAGCGGAGCCGATTTCATTTTGCATTAGTCATAAATGCACATGTGAAACTCTTTTTTTTTCGCCAAGAAACCCGCGTTCACGTTCTTTTCGTGTGTGTGTTCGTTGTTTGCTTCGATTTTGGTTTAAAATCGATGTGAATTTTCCAAGAAGCATTACGTTTTTTTACCGTGAAACACTGACGGACTGAATTGAAATTTTGTGCACTCGAATGTGTGGAAGTGTGGAACGCAACACCAAAAAGAAATAACGAAAACAATTATACACATTGGTTTGCTATTGTTTTTGCCCTTCTTTTTTTTCGTGAAAACTGCCGTTGCAACTAAAACAAACTTAAAATAATAAGAACGAAAACCGCGACGCTCAAGTCAATGCCATCGGTCTATATGCAAAAGAAAAATTTGACACACTGTTGAATTGACAACCGTTTTATCCAATGGCGATATGAGTGACCCCAAATTGGCGCTAAGACAACTATCTCAATTCCATGTAGCCGTTATTGTTGTTTTAATTTGGTTTTCATTGGCCGAATACGCGGCGGTTGCTGAAATCACCGATCATACCAAATTATTTCCGGAACAAAATGAAGGTAATTTAATGATGATTATTTTCAACAGTTAACAAACTAACACACCGCAATTAATCGCATAGAGCGTGTTGGAGCGGAGTATTGTTTGTTTCCTCTTCTTTTTCGGAACCGAGTAAGCACGTATAAAATCAGAAAAAAGGCGTTCATAGCCCGGAAAGAAAACAAGAAAAAGAGCCGGCCTGATATGGAGCTTCAGAATTTTTTTGGTTCTTCTTATGTGTGTGTGTGTTTTTTTTTTCTTCTTAATCAGTCGTAATGCACTAATGCAATTTCCGTTGCAAAAAGAAATATATGTGTTAAAAGAGCGATAATCGACTGGCATATCGAGATTAGAGACGGTTAGAATGGCAAACGCGTGAATAAAAAATGAATCTGTAGACGAAGAATCGATATGCCGGTGCATTCGAACAACACAATACAAAAAAAAGCTTCGATCAAAATCGCAAACACGCAGAGACGCGATTGCAACAATGTTTTTTTTTAAGTAGAGCGTTAACATTTAAATAACCGCAACGTCGTTATGTCAAAAGTGAGAGCAGTGGTTTACTTACCGAAGAAGAAATACGGCGAAAAAAAAAACAACAACCGAAAATCGTGCAAAATTCGTGTTTGTGTGGAAAAGAAGCATTCGATTTGATATGTGCAAATTTATGCAAAAAAAAAAAATTGTCGGCGATTTTTTTTCTGCGAAACCACATATTTTGTGTGTGCAGTAATTTTAATGGCTTCGAGAAAAGACCTTCAACTTCGCCTTGCACCGATTCCATTGGAAACAATGCACCATACACGTTAGCTGTCATCGAAAAATGCGTTTTGCGTTTTTATATTGAATTTTTGGGCTTTTATCGCTTCCAATTGATCGCGACAACGATGAAACGAAGACGAAGAAAAAACAGATTGAAACCAAAATACGATTACCGTTAAAGTCGTCAAAAACTATGAAATAATATTGTTTTGCACATGATTCGCATGAGATGCTTCAAGTTTTTTCATGCTTTTCTGCATCTCAACGTTAAATAGCTTAAGCGATAAGAAATGAAATAAAGCCGAAAAACAACGAAGAAAAGCAAACAAAAAAAAAACAAACAAACAAAAATCGCTTGAATAACAGACAGATTTAGTTTGCCTGGTACATTTTTCTCCGCATACCTTTTTCTTTTCATTTCACGCGAAGCACCACTTGCATTTCATTCACTTCAGGTAAATGCACTTCCCTTGCATCAGCATCAACGTCGTAACTTTATAATGCCGAAAAGTTCAACGATTACCAAAAAAAAGACAAAGAAGGTGTGTGCGTGAAGTGTTTGTTGAATGAAATGAAGAAAACAAATTTTTTTTCAAGAATTTGTGTGTACGCTTTTGTGAGGCTCTTCGCTTGGCTGTTGTGCTGTGTTGAAATTTCTTTCAATAATCTTGTCTGATGACCCATTTGAATGCATTCAGTAGGCAATCAACATGCTCGCGCGCGCACGCATTGTCTTCGTCGTGTTAATCTGCGCTCGCTTGCGATTTGTTCATTGTGTTTTTTTTCGCGAGCAAGTGAAAATTGCCGAATCATGCACACGCCTGCAATTTTGAATGTCATAAACCTAAAGTCGATGATGTTGATCGTTTTTTTTTTCTCGTTAGTGTCTTTTCATTTGTTTCTGCTCCATTGTGTCAAATATTATGTCATCTACGATGATCTTTTTATTATTTTTCTTTACTTTGATTATGATTCTGGTGTGCGTGCCCAGGCCCACCCAACAAGCAATTGTTCAATCTGTGTGTGCTTTTTTTGTTGTTGAAAATGGTTAATGGTGTGTTTTTGGATGTTTCGCGAAACACATAAATATCGATTATATAAGACAATTACACTGAATGTTTTCTCGGAAGATTTGAGCTGATCTCTTGTCACAGCTTGTTTGGATCGGTCGATCGCAAGCTTTTTTTTTCTACGTTGTTATTGCCCGCACCACGACTCATTTGCCTTCGAAACGGAGCATTACACCATCGATATAATTATCGCTAATATTTCTAGCAAACGCAAAGAAAAACAAAAAACCAAACAAACACACCATCGGACACCGTTTAAACAACAACGCACGATCATTTTGACCCGAACAAATTTACCATAATTTACTTTGATGAATTTTGAAAAGTATTCAAGGTAATGTTTGTAAACAGAGTTTGTGCGCGCATTAGGTTTTGTTTGAATGCTGCATACAGACACAAACATACACCTGGCTGTTGTTTGTTTTCAATCTGAATAGGCGATTATTTGGAAGGTGACGATAGAGTCAATGCTGGCATATCCACCATTTCTAAAGCTGTGCACAATTTCGAATAATTGATTTTTTTCCGTGCGACATGCGCAAATAGCAAATATGATGTTCGATGGTACACACGCGCAGGCCATTGTACTTCTTTGCCTAAACATTGCATCGATTAAGTCCACATGGATGCAATAGCGGCGACGAAATTGTCTGTTGTTGATAAAAACACACCCAATTTACATCAAACAAATTGTAATCCATTAAATTATGACTGAAAATTGCACTCGTCTATGCGAATTTTGTTACGTGGATTTATGTTCGGGCACATGGCGACGCACAACTTATGCTCCAAACTTATTATACAATTGAGAAGACAGAGGTATATGACATGGTATCCACGCTACTCGACTAAATTGTTTCAATTATTATTCAACAATTAATACATGTAATTTATTTAAGTGACATAAATTTAACTATGAACTAATCTAATATTATTTTTACAATTTTTTTCCATATTGATTAACTTTAGTTATTTTGTTCAAATTTATCTGCTGCGAACAAACTAAACAGTGTTTAGTCTAGTGCTCAGTTGTTCTTTTTTTTTCTTATACGTGATTTTCACTGATGAAATGCTTGTGATTTGTTTTTCTGCAGTTGAGCAGCTGGTGCGAGAATGGGCACCATTAGTTTGGCTTGCACCCAACGAGAAGTTTATGCCGGGCGATGTGACCGATTTTCTGCAACATGTTCACGCTGAAAAAGCGAAAAAACCAAAAAACGACGGCGGCGGCGGCAGCAACACCGCAAATGTACATGACCAACAACGGTTCCAATCGGACGATGGTGACGACGAACAATTGTACTATTATGAAACAGCCAACGAGCTCAATGTGATATTATCACAACAAGATCGACATCCATGGGAACGACGTCACAAACGAATGTACAAAGACAATTATTTATTCAATTACATCATTGACCTGCCGATCGGCGAACACTCGTCCAATTGGTTTCTCGTTACAAACGACAACATTGGTAATGATATCATTAGGAAAAAATATATATTTTTAATATTTACTGCCAGTTGTACTAGTAACACACTTACCTAGCAAATCGATTTGAAATATTACGACATTTTCAGCTAGCGGTCATAAGTCCACAAAATTGTCCATCCATCCATTCATCCATTGATTTATCCATCCATTCAACATATGAATGGATGGATGGAGAATGGATGATGAATGGATGATGAATGGACGATGAATGGACGATGAATGGACGATGAATGGACGAT